CCTAGAAATTTAATTTACATATAAATAATTATTTCATTATAGATTATAGATTATAGTAGAGCTTCACTTTATAAAACAATTTATACTCACATTCTATTAATTTATTTGCATATAATTGATTAAAGTTTGGTTTAATTATACACTTTTAAATTTGTAAAATAAGCTATACTTACCGGCTAATAATTTAATTTATATAAGCCATTAGAGAAGTTTTATTTAATTATAGATTATTATAAATTTTTTTCGATTACTTACAACCTAATAAAAATAATTAGAGAATTTTAGTTAATTATAGATTATCCGACATGTTATATGATCGTGTAATTTTTTACTTCGATAGTTTTTTTCAAGATTAATTAATCATTTATGCAAAACACAACACTAAAATCATCACGATAATACAATATATCAGATGAAATCAAACTAGGCATACGATTTTATAACGGGAATATCTTTCATTGCAGTTAATGTCACTTATATGTAGCTACGCAACACACGGAGATGACATTAGTTATGTGAAAAATTTCCTGCTATTTTCATAATATACCCACTATTGAATACGTATTCATTATAAATTCAAATTTATGAATTTTATACTCACAACCTAATAATTTAATTTATAAGTAATTGATTAGAGAAGTTTTATTAATTAGATTATTTTAAAATTTTAATTATAATTTAATTTATACTCACAATCTAATAATTTATATATATATATTGATTAGAAAGGTTTTATTTAGGTATGATACCTATAAACTGTTTCATTTTAAATTAATTTTATACTCACAGGCTAATGCTAATACACATAATTGATCAGAGAAGTTTTAGATAATTGTAAATATATAAAAGTTTAATTTATAAATAGCAGTACGTGACGTCCGTAGGTAAGGTGTCCAGTATTATGCGATGAATGCGAAATAAATTTAAATTTATACGAAAATTTTAAATAGAAGATGTGGTTTATTCTATGTAAAATTTACTCTACATCCTTTGGAATTTTTTGGTTGTCTACCAAAAAATTACCTCGACCATGCTCGTAATTTAGGTTCGTGATTTTCTACGCCGGAATTTTTCGGAATTTACTCGCACTCAAACATACTCTCGACCAGTGTTGTATACGGACGTTGTCCCATTAAAATTTCATGGACGCGGACAGTCGCGAACGATGTCCCATGTCCCGGGCAATGTCCTATGTCTGTGATGGTGTCCTATATCGCAAAGTTTCTCAAGCGACCTCATTGGCTAAAAAGGACACTCTTATTATAATTTTTAATTGTCCGGGTCGTTAACATTTGGCGAACATGTCCGTTGTCCGTGTCCCTGTCCCATAACAACACTGTTCTCGACGACCATATCAGCCAATCATGTTTGTGCCACGTGATATGGATGTTTTTTTATTCAATTATGCGGAGCATATGCGATGCGAGAAATGGTCACTTATGCGCATCATCAGGAAATTTTTTTCAGTGCAGCTCTTACAGATTTCCAAAAAAATTAAATAATAAATCAAATGAAAATCTGTGCAAAACTTCAAACCTTGTGGATATAAATGCAGAAATTAAATGCTGTTTCTTCAAATTTTATAAAATTTTGCAGATTTTTTATAAAAATCTGTAAAAATACAGATTTTTGCAGATTTACACTTATTTAATTTTCCCAATGCATAATTCTGGACACCCTAGTAATTGGTACCTCGGGATTAGGGATAGGTTCGTTCGACTATTTTCGACTTAGCCTATTTATAGTCGACATGATCCGGTGATCCAAATTGGATGATTTTAGTACCGTTCGATTAGTCTCATTGGGACGAACCGAATGGTGCCAAAATCATTCAATTTGGATCACCGGATCACAAGATACACTCCGACTACAAAACGGCTAAGCCGAAAATAGTCGACCGAACCCATCCCTATTCGGGATTAAAAAAAGCTTAACGTTGATTTAAAATTAATTTCTACTCACCATCTAATAATTTAATTTTTACATAATTGATTAGAAAAGATTATATAAGTTTAATTTACAGTATAGATTAATTTCTACTCACCATCTAATAATTTAATTTATAATAATTGATTAGAAAAGATTATACAAATAAAAGTTTAATTTATAGATAATTTCTATTCACCACCTAGTAATTTAATTTAAACATGAATAATTTAGAAGGTTTACTTTGTTAATTAAAATTTTAATTTATTATGAAATATTGTGTAAACATACTTTGACGTTTATTCAGATACTTAATAGGCGAGTTAGGGACAAAGCTGATATATGTAATAAAAGCTAAAGCGATAATGAAAATTAAATAAAATTTGGACAACATTCTGAAGCTAATTTTTTTAGGTCGATAAACAAGAGGAAAGGCAAAAGAAATGATAATTAGGACGCAAATATAAAAAACATTGTAGCAATTTATATCTCCTATATATACAGTACATCTAATTAAATAGCGTGAGTGTAATGAACTATTATTATAATGCAATACTGCAAGTCACTTTAACACTTGATTAGTCAAACAAATTTTATCTGTAAGATACAAACACCTAAACACGATAGTTGTTTTTATGTATCCCAATGCAGTGTTAAATGCCTAAAAAAAGTCAGAAATGGCCTTTTACTATGAATGACCTTAAATGACTTTTGTATAAGACTTAATGATAAATTCAAATGACTTGACAAAATTCATTTCAGTAAGGCAAATTACCATACAAACTTAACAACATTGCCCTGATATGTTGTATATGAGTTCATTAATTCTGTAATTTAAAGCAAAATTAGTTGCGTATGTATCTGATTTCTCGTACGTAGATGTAGATCCTTCCTTTATCTTCCTTTATCTGTTATGGACCATAATAATAATGCAGGAAATTAAGACAACGCGGCAATAATATGTCTGAATTACAGTAAATTAGATTCAATTATAACCACAATATTTATGGAAGTTGTCAATTTTAGTTATGCATATTAAATTAAATATTTAATTATTGTACTGTACTGTATTGGTGAAACATTGGAGTAATTCTGTGCAATGCATAAAATCCAGGAGATCCTAATTTCTCCTCATTTCTGATTATATACCGATACGTATATCTGTAAATGCTATTTCTGATTGGGCAAACTATATTACGCCATTATCCTTCTTTGTACATAAAGTTTTTCAAAAATCGCCAGTAGCTTGCATCAGAAAAATTAAATAAGTGTAAATCTGCAAAAATCTGCAAAAATGCAGAATTTTGCAGAATATTTTGCAAAATTTTTCATAATTTGAAATTTTGCACAGAATTGTATTTAATTTCTGTGGTTATGGCTGCTGAGTCTGAAGTTTTGCGCAGATTTTTATTTAAATTTTTTTTTATAAATCTGCACTAAAAAATCCCCTAATGTCATAATTTTGCTTATGAAACCACCTTTCGTAACTTAATAAAAAAAATCACTGTAGTGCACTGATGCTGTGGTCAGGATTGCTTATGCAGGTATAATTTTAATGCCGTGCCATGGTGCACCATTAAATTTTTTATAGTATTTATTAATGATGCATCATGGTGCACAATAAATCATACCTGCACCAGAACCTTGGCTGTAGTACTAATAAGTTTTCCACTATCGTTATTATTGAATGAATCGAGTTAATCTTGATGAAAGAATCGTATCATTACATGTCGTTTAGTAGAATAAACATATATGTCGCCGTTAGATTAAATATGCATACCGAATTTCGTAATATTAATAAAATAACACGTAAATTTAATGCACATGCATGCAATAAATAACTGTTAATATTGTCGGAACTCCCCATGCGTCCAGATTTTTCAGGTGTTCTAGTGGTTCCAAATGAGAAGCCCAATTAGAACGATTTTTTCATTGGAATCCATATTATTGACTGGCAAACTATTTGAAATAGTCAATAATATTGTCAATAAAAAAAAATGCATAAATCTATATTATATATATATCAGTACAGTATTTACAGTAGAGCTTGTTATGTTGTGTATTTTCATAAGTGGATTAACTAACAAAACTATTAATAGCGATAGGCAATTGATTTATTATTAGTGCATTACTCGTGCTTAAAAATCGTTAAAAAATTTAGTATCTGTTCTGTACATAAAATTCGAATATAATAACGATCAAAATTGAATTGCAGTTTGATTCATTACCGAATTACCGTGTCACCCACTTTGTAGACAATCGTTTCACTAGCGAATTTAATTCGCAGATAATTAATTCACATAGACTATTGACAGTTCATTTACAAATAGCTTATTTCTTAACAGTTTATTTCACTGACAGTTCATTTCACCGAGTAATGCTAGTCATTGTAGGAAGGATTAGAATCAGAATTAAGGTTAGCGCAATTTATAAAAAAACTCGTCTGTGAAATGAGTTGTCGAAGCATAACGGGATTTTATTATGATCAGCTGATTTGTAGATTATACATCATAAATTCTTGTTAAACCAATGATTTTGCAGCCATGAAAACAAATTTGCAGTGATATAGAGTACATTTCCAAATCTATAATACTTTGGTAATCAGAGAGGTAATTTGAAAGTTAAATACGAAGTATGTTTTAGACATTACAGTTTTATTAATAGGCATAAATATGGCTTATATAAGTTTTTTAAATTATAATGTATATTTAAAATTTTGATATTTCATTTTATTTACATTATAATAATTTATTTGTACAGTAGTTTTTAAAGAAGATGATATTAACAAATAGGTAAAAACATAATGTAATAAAAATATAAGCTTATAAATTTTACAATTTGGAGTTATACGGTACAGTATTAGAGCTTTTAATATATAAGAAAAAGTTGATAAAAATGTGGCAAATCGTTATACAACTGCAAAAATACATGTGTTATGCATCAAATTAATTATAATGCCGCTAATACCTGCCCTTATCTTAGCACAGGTTTTCTCCTAACCCTAAAAATTTTCACTATTTAATTTTGATCTGACACGAAATATTAACTTGGTCGTAAATTGTATAATTTTCATTATGCAACAACGTGCAGTCTATATACTTTGCATTCTCTCAGTGCTTATTCTTTTTAGTTTAGCACTTCTCACAATAACTTCAAACGAGTCTTATCATATTAAAATTTTAGAGAATACGAATAGTGTAAGGGAATATGCAGAAGTGAAAAATTTAGAATTCGATATAGTATATAATGAATATGTTAAGAAACATAATCAAGCAGTTGCAGAGTTATCTAAGCCATCTGCTAATTTATCAGAACTTCCAAAAATCGTTGTTGTTCGACCGGACATGAGTACAGGACTCGGAAACCGTTTGCCTGGAATAGCTTGTGGTTTTTTATATTCATTAATTACTGATAGACTATTTTTTATTAGTGGATATAGAAATTTCGAAGATTATTACGAGAAAGATTTCGATCATAATTGGAATATTTTAGTAAAATTATATGCACGTAAAAATACTACTTCTAGAAATATACATGATTATAGCTCTTATAATGATTTTCCACTGGTAGTGAGAGGAAATTTTAGTAATGAGGAAATGGCTTCTTACGATATTTTATATTTTCAGACGTGGGATTACGCGTGTGCTCCAATAACGTCAAATCCTCATTATAAGAAATGGTTCGATAAAATAATACCTAATTATAGAGTTTTTACAGCAATCAGCCTAAAATTATTTAGATTACAACCAAATATTAACAAACAAGTAAAGACTTTTGTAGATAATAATTTTAACGATTATGTCATAGGAATTCACTTAAGAGAGAAGAAGTCACAACCACATGATATGGTTATACCTGTAGAACATTACACCGAAGCAGTGAAAGCGTTGATAATAGGAATGTCAAGCATTAATATAACTATCTTTGTGGCTGCAGATAATAATAATGGTCGCAAAAAAATAGTAGATTCATTTCATGAAGCATTTAATTCTCATAGTAATAATTCTATTAAGATAGTTCATACCGAAGATGACATGGATTCACAAAATCCAATTAGTAAAAACCCTGGCTCAGAAGTAGGCGCTCTTATCGATATGAAATTACTTAGTTTATGTGATGACATGGTAATTACATATGCTTCTACATTTGGCTTTACTGCAGCAGGATGGTCGCAAAAAGCGTCGCGTCGAAGAGGTCCATTTGTCATAATGCCAATAAAAAAAAATTTGAATGATGATTTACGGGTTGTAGATAAAGTTTGGGTGTGGGGTGCTATGTCAACTGAGCCATGTATGTACATGAGCAAGAAGCTGATTAATAATGAAGATGAAGAAACTGTTAGAGTTTTCAAAACTAATCCATTATGGATGCATTATAGTCAATGCCATTGGTAATTATAATAAAAATTTGCCATATTTTACGTTAGGTTAATGTTTTAGCTTTTTTTTTGCAATATAAACTAAATGTTGAACTCATCGTTAAATAACAGGTTAAATTTAATACATGAGCTGCTGTCAATAGAAATCAAGCAGATTAGAATATTAGTTTATCAAGATAACCTCAAAATTCATCAAGATATAAGTTGCGAAAGTTATGAGATTGATTTTTTTAAAATGTTAATCTGCTTGATTTCTATTGACGACAGCCCACATGTTCAAAGCATTAATGATAATAAAAAATTTTCAAAATGGCATTATTTTTCAGAAACACTATACTATACCAAAAATTATATATAATTTTACTTTAAAGATCAAATTATGATTATGTAATTACTATGTTCTGTAATTTATAAAGTTTTCTGGTTAAGTTACCAGTAAAATGTTACCGTAAACGTCTATATAAAAGACCCGGGTTTGTTACATTCCACAAATTTCAAAACCTATAGTAGACCGGGTCTGAGATCGAAAGTAAAAATTTAAATAATTTTTTGATCGTCGCTCTTAGCCAATCAAAATCGAGGATCTGCCGCGCGGCACCTAGGTTCGCATACATGAAAGTTGACATATACTGTATATTTATTTAACTTTGATAACATCAGGATAAATTTATTGGACAATTGCTATGTTACACAATAATATATACCCAAAATACATATATACAGATTAATATCTTTTAACGATCATATGCATTTGGGCAGCATTTAAAAATATTGCACAATTCAAACCGCATTAATTCTCACCGGAACTATATACTGTATGTTTGTTATAAGTCTAAAAAAACGTAAAGTATTAATATTATTATTTGGAAGAAAAAATTATGGAGGGTGCTAAGAAAAAAGTACCTTTTGTCGTTCTTGATCTTTTTATATTCTTACTTTTCTTTGATGACTTTTTAGTTGTTGTTTTCTCTATGCTTTTCCTTTTAGTCGTCGACTTCCCTACAACCTTATCATTAATAGCTTGATCACACACCTCATTATAGCTAGAACTTCCATGACCAGATTCATTATTTGGCTGATTCCAATTATCAACAACACGCTGAATTCTTGCACTCTTATGTTTTATTGAACCTTTATTATTGCTAGAAAGATCGAAGAATTCATCCAAAGAAGTTTGTACATTTATCTTTCGTACATTTTCAACCTTTTCATTCTATTATTCATCATAATTCAATTTAAAATTTATTTATTATTTTTTAAATATTAAAATAATAAAATTACTAATATAACATACCTGCTCCTTTATCATGGTCCGTAAAAGTGGTACAAGAGTTTCATCAACTTTACTTTCAGACCATGATAGATTTTCTTTCAAATAGCTAAAATAAACATATATATATTATCAGTGAAACTGTTCAAAAGTTATTATGTCTTTTATCACAAACCTTCTTAAGTCATCCAAATCTGGAAAACCCCATTGAAACTGAATTTTTGAATCATCAACTTGTGGATTCATATATGCATTCCATATATGACGACTTGGAAAATCTGATGGTAAAAAGAGTGTGCGCATCTTTCGTCGCTAATATGAAATCGAATAAAAAATTTCTTTAGATGGGATCGATTCTTCTTTTTTTTTTTTCAATGAATAATAATAATATAATATTAAATGTAAACACACAAATTTCTTTCTGAACTCGCTTTCATCCTTATCTGGTGTATACTTTCCGCTTTGTACACTTAGCCACCAAGATTTAAATTGTTCTAGGCTATCGTCACCAGGGAACTCATTCAGAAGTTCCATGGCACTAACAATTCCAACACCAGGTAGACCTTCAGAATAATCGCTTCCCAAAATAATAGCAAGCTGTATTAATTTTTCCCGATTTAACTTTAACTCTTGCTCAAAATCTTTTGCAAGGTAGCATTCGACATATTTTTGTTGATTAAACATGTTTTTATACACTTCTGTGCCTCCAAATAAAAATACGTCACTATCATCTGTAATGATGCCGTCAACTAATTTAAGCTGTAATAATTCAGCACACTGTGCTTCGGCTTCCATTGGCGCGATAACATATGGAATGCCAAACAATTTTAAAAGTTTCTATGAAAATTTTCAATAAATACGTTAAAGCATGTATATATATATATATACAGATTTTAAAAGACTTAGTTCATATTCTTACTTGACAATCATTTATCATAGACTGATTCACAGTATCTGCGTCACGTTTATCTCGCCTTTGCTGTTCATTTAATTGTTGGATTTCATTAGTCAGCTCTTTTTGTATTGAACCCAAGTCTTTATTTTGTAATTCGGATAAAAACCTAGCGAATTCGGAGGTTTCCTTGGCTAATTGCTCAGTATCCTCGTCAGAATTATCATACTCTTCGCGTGACTTGAACACATTTTCATCGAACAATGTTTCATGTTCACTTTTAACTGAATCATCTGTTTGTATATCAGGCTCAGATGTCAAATCGATTACATTAATTTTAGATTCATTGTGTTGATGTATTAAAGAAACATTATTATCTGATTTTAAATCTTTTGTATCTATTTCAGGAAAATCTAGATCATCAATTTCAAGATTTAAATTCTGAAGTGTTGAATCATTTTTTTCTTTAGATATTGATATAATATCGCCGTTGTTATGTGACAAATTTACTTGAGTTAAATCATCCGTTTTTAAGAGATGATTTTGATTGATTTTATTCAGGGGTTCATCATTACCTAATATTTCCTCGGATAAATTGTTCATATCTTTTATCAAAGTTTTTTTCGTCGATGAAACATTTATTGAATCAATATTATTATTATTATGCATTTCGCTCTCAATGTAATCTGATTTGATTATTCCATCGTTGGTTATGCAATGTGATGATTCTTGAATGAGTGATTCAGAATCTATGCTAGTGAGCTTAACATCATTCATCAAATCCGTTGTAAGCAAATTTTCAGTTGAAATTATAGACTTAATTTCCCTAATCATTATTTGACGAGGCGTTTGCTTAAGTTTCTTTGACACCTTCTTAGACAATTTTCTTTTCAAATTAACGGTCAATGGAGTATCGTAGGCCAGTGGTAAATTAAAGAATTCAAAATCTATCTGTATCAATTTTTTTGACCTAATATTGGGCGGGATCGTATCTTTCAATTGCCTAATAGAGTTCAAAGTTTCGTGCGTAAATCGTTTATTATTAGGTTTATTAAGATCAAAATTTTCATCAAAAACAGTGCTTGACTGTCTTAATGATGGTTCCGAATTGACGTATAAATTATCTATTTTATTAGTACTTTCTAATGAAGAACTATCTGCTTCATCTTTTCGAAAGTAAAGCGGATGTGACCTACGAAATTGGATCGTAACCTCTAAAAAGTCGAGCCAAAATTTTAAAGCCACTTCTTTTTCGTCATCGCCCTCTTTTATTTTTCCTAAGCGTTTGATAGCCAAAGCTTTCTGTTCTTCAAGATCACAGTCATTCCATTCATATATGGCTTTGTGGATTCTTTCATCATGATCATCGTATTGTCTTTGAAATGCAGGTGAAATTCGTGATAACCAAATAGCATATAGTGAGTCTGGAGAATCTGGTTCATAGGATTTAGATGAATCTTGATCATCACTTAGGTTATCAATTGAGTAAACCTCTCTGTTATATTGCTTATTAAAGTTTTGTAAATTTTGATGTGTTTCAAGCATATTAAATTTTTTCATAACGGATTCAATGGGTTCATCATCATCAACGTAAGCATTTGAATCTAATAATAAATCATCAGGTTCATTTTCTATAAAGAGAAGGAGGAATTAGATAAATAATTTTAACTATGCTTAATTTGTCTTGTCTTAAATCACCTAGTTCAACTTCTTCCCATTCGTTTTCAGAGTCTGGTATTGATTTTTCATCAGATTCCGAGCTCTCGTCCAAATTCACTGGCTCATCAATTGTGCCCGATCCTCTGCCAGCCAAATTATTCGAATTTATGTTACCATTAGTTTTCATTGTATATCCCGCAAGTCCCTCCTCATTCTTAATTAATATGTATTCTTTGTTACGCTCTGACGCAATTCGTAGTGGGGTAGTATTATTTAAATTATTAACATTATTCGTAACATCTAGCATTTTTTGAGTTAAATCGTTCCTTTTAACTAGATTTTGTATTTGGAGTTTTGAAAAATCCATAGCGGTGTAATAAGAATCATTAAGGATGATAAAGTAAAATTGAAATTAAATGATAAAAAATAAATATATATATATATTCTCATATTTAGGATATGGGAGCGCTGTTGACTAATTCTTGGAATCTATCCGTTGAAGTTAACCGACTTCTTAGTCTAAGTTCACTAATTATCTCATATTGAGTTTCCAACGGAAGAGATTTAAAATATTCAGAATCGGTGTTGACATCTTCTGGCTATAACGATATAATTCTTAGACTATTTTTCACGTAAGCAGATAATAGACCATCAAGATTATTAACAATTGCCTTGTATTTTTTTATATAATTGCGAAGATCTTCCTTAGTTGCCATTCTTGGATCATCATCTTTAATCATGGATCTTAAGTGGTAATTTAACATTCAGTAATAATTTTTAAAACGAAATATACATGCCATCAGCTTTATACAAATACATACTCGATTCCCCCTTCAATAGGCGGCAAATAGTATTCATCTTTTTTTCTCTTTTTATGTAATTGTGCTGGACTCATCTTTAATTCATCATAATAAACGACATCATCACCTATTATTGTCTTTTCTTGCGAGTCGTTTCGGCTCTTATCTGATCTACTAACATATAAAAGTCAGAAATGATCTCGAATATACAAAGGTGACAAGCATAAAATAAATTATACTTTGATTCTTCAATATTTTTAACAGCACGCTTTTGAATCTGAACTGATAAAAGTTTTCCAGCTATTTTTTGTAATTCATTTGTCTTTCCAATGCGTCTTTTTCGGCGTTCTGCCTAAATCATTTAAAAAAAAAAAAAAATTCTATATAATCAATTCGGTGAAATTCTATCGATAATTTTGATGATGATGATAATTATAACAAACCAAAGTTTGTCGTTTCAATTCCGGGGCTCCACCATCAAACACAAATACTGGTTTGATATTGAAAAAAAGAAGTTTGCATATCCTTCGAAAAAAACCTAAAATATGAGCATTTTTTAAGGCATTTCCTTCTTCGTCGCGTATTGCTTTTAAAAATTGATATAACCAAATACTAGCATGTGTTAAATACAGAATAAATTAAAGATTATATTATAAATAACCAAAATATGTCAATGGAACTATAAAGTATAAAGGATATCAATAGCAAGCCTTTTTTGGCTTAGAGATTCAAGCTGTACGGGTCTCGCTACGGGTTCTAATAAACTCCATAAACGTTTTACACCCATGCTGTCGTGATACCTTGTAAAATATCTTCAACTTTTCGCAGTAGGATAAAAAATGTTCACGCTTGGTAGGGATGTAATCGAGTGCATCCATTTGCAAGCTCGAAATGTGTGACAGATTGCATCGATTGTCAAATGATCTTACTTATTTGTGCCGGTAATACAAACTCTTAATTCAATATGTAGCGGAACTAATTTGGTACTGCTATTGAATTAATTCCCTTTTGGGGTTATTTTACCAAAATCATCAGAATATATGTAATGTGTATATTTAATGTTAAACCAGGTTTTAGAACCAAGTTCTGAACCAAACCAAGTTTAACTTAGGTTCGGAACTTAGTATATAAGAACCTGGTTCCTAGTTTGTAAAATAAAACTTAAAAGGTTTTAGAACAAATAGCTACGGTATAATCACCTGATAAATCTCACTATTAAACGGAATTTTTAAAGCTGAGTACTGTGTAACATGATTTAGATTAATGATGAATCTATGCTAGACGTGTAAATTTCTTATAGATTAAAAAGCATCGATTCTATAGAAAAATAGGTAATTTTTAAATAAGTATGTAGAGAGCTTCGATGATAATAAGGAGGCAATTAAAGCCCAGATATAAGGTAAAAAACAATCCTTGAGGTATTGAGTTTTTTAATTTTTTATCGAAGTCACAATGTATTTGACTACACACAAAAGTTAGCCCTGAAATTGATATTATATTAGTGATCTATCGATATATATAATTATAATCTTCTCTGTGTCCCTGATAGGGTTGGGCACGGCATAACCAGGGACACGGAAAATTATTTTCGATTTTTGTAAAATTTTCGATTTATTTCGATTTGACCAGCATTAAGAAAAAACAACGATAATCCCGGCTGAAATTAAAATGGTGAAATGAAAATTTGATTTCGAAATATTTCCGTCAGGGACCCAGAAAAGTTCATATATATATATATGAATAAAATAGAATTTTTGGCGCAAAAGGGTATAAAAAGGAATTTTTAGAGCTGAGTATTATCAAATGATTTTGATTGGTTAAAAGTCTTGTAATATTGATTATTGTTAGAGATTGTACCGGGTAGACATTTTTATTACATGGCTATACTAAATTACCTGGATAACCGGGTAATTTAATAATACCCGGGTAGAGAATTTCTTGACGGGTACTATCTCTACTTCCTAGTTTTCACTCAAATTAATATATACATTTCTGTTGATACTGTCATATCCCAAAAAGATACATACCACACAAACTTCAAAATTAGAAGTCTATTCTTCTTATTATATAAATTTATATGTATTATATAAATTTTTTACTATTAGGCCGATATAAATTAAAGATCTTAAATTCTGGAATTTGAACAGAATCAGCAGCAATAACTTTATCGACAAATATACTATATACTATTATTTAAATGATTATAAAAATGAACTCAATAAATATATAGACATGACAATTAAGCCCATCGCACTAGTAGTTAATAATGGTATATAAAAAATTTTTATTTCGGTATAAACCGGATTTTTGGGCATAACTCCCTAAAATATCACGTAAAAATAATTAGTAAAACATCACATGTAATAGGACCCGGATAATTATATATAATGTGGGAGGAAATAAGATTATAAGATTTGAAAAAATTTACCCCAAAAATCTTTAGATTTTATACCCACTTTTATACATACTATATACAAAAAATTTAAAATTTACCTAAACTTTTACATACCAGATTAAAGCATATAAAAGTTTTTTTTATTTCTTATAATTTAGATTAGAATTAAGGTTTGTAGAATGTAAAGTATTTTTATTTAGCATAATGTATATTATGATAATAGAGAATTTACAAATAAGGGCCCGGAAAGTGAAAATAATTACAAATTCAGGCCCAAATTAAAAATAATTATATACAAGGGCCTAATTTTTAAAAAATAATACATATAAGGGCCTAAATTTATTGATAGCTAAATAAAATGGATCGCAGGCTTATAACGATAGCAAAATTGTGATTATAAGATTATTGATTGTTTTATTATAGACATTTAGAGTTATATATAATGATTTTTAGATAAAAGGACAAATAAAGTTGTTTTTTCAATAATTACTTAATTGAATATTATAAAAATTATTTATTTTAATTGCATAGTATTGTAAAAAACTTTATTAACTTTGGTTTAGTATTAGTTGAAAAATCATCGCAAAAAATTTTAAAAAAAAACTCTAAAAATCTTGGAAAAACCAAATCAGATAAAATTTTCTTTCATAGATGATTTCTCAAAAACCAACTCCAAATTTAATAAAATTTTTATTGTTAGTTATAATTATTTTTGCTTAAATATTGCATTAAGATAGTGTTAAACTAGCACAATTATTCATAAAGCAAAGTTTCAACAGAGTAGCTCTCTAAAGCTGAATGACATCTTCTATATTAGTAAATGCTATGCCAATTCGCAATGGTTTACTTGACATCATAGTGGCTTGTTATAACAATTATACAAAATTTATTAAATTTAAAAACTTTTTTTTTTCTTATTTATAATTACTAATTTACAATTGCTCATTATATATTTTATGCTGTTATAGAATGAGATTCATATTTTATCTCTATTAGATCCAGAAGATTGTTATAGAATAAGATTCATATTTTATCTCTATTAGATCCAGAAGATTGTAACAATAAAAACAAGCTACAATACATAACAAACGAACTATCGGTTAGCTAGATAATACCTTTTATACTTTTTATACCTTTTGTACCTTTCATACCTTTTATACTTTTTATACTTTTTATACCTTTTGTACCTTTTATACCTTTTATACATTTAGTACTTTTTATACCTTTTCTATGTGTTGTAAAAGCTATATAAACTCTAGCTTTTACCCTTCTTGTACTAGAGAATTCATTCCCTGCAATGTTTTAAAATATTAGAATTCTATAGGAATAGATACCTATAGATAGCTTTGTATCTAGACATTGTATCATAAATAAATAAAT